CGCGGCTGGGGGGCTCCCTAAGGGCTTCTGTGCGGCTGATTCCGAGGTGTCTCCAGGAACCAGGCCGCCCCCGGGGGTTCCGGCGGCATCTCGCTCAGCTCGGTGTCAGGGTTCCCCCAGCACCTGCAGGGGAGAGACCTCGTGAGGGGCTGGGCCGCTGTGGGGATGCGGGGAGCACCGGTGGATTCCCCCCAGAGGCCTCAGCCCAGGGAGCGGAACCTTTCAAAGTGAAGTCTCTCATGTGCATCCCTCATCTGAGCTTCTCCCCAACCTGCTCGGCTGCCTGGCAGAGATGGGGCCCAGCCAGGACGTGCGGGAGACTGCGGACAAGAAACGTGAGGAGGGTGGACCCCGCAGAGCCTCGGGGCCAGGTCAGCGCTCGCCCCTGATTCTAGGAGGAGGAAATACAGTTCGGAAAGGGCTTCCCGGCGTCGGAAGGCCATGGCCATGTGAGGGTCACTGACCCCCGAAGCAGAGCGGGGCTCGGTATCCCCAACCCAACGCCCAGTGGACCCCCTGAGCCAGTCCCAAGGGCCTCTTCCCACCGCCTCTGTCTCAACCGGTCACACGTATGTAGGCTCGTGGGGTCCCCTCTATGCCAACCACCCCCGCTCCAGTGCCGGCTCCCCTGGGCCCAGGTGTGCACAGGCAGCGCCTGCCGCCGGCCCTGACAGGAGGCTGGAAGCCTGCAGCCCCCCACACACGGGCCGAGCAGTCCCTCTCCTCCAGGAGCCGTGGGATCCAGATGACGGACCATCACCGACCCACCGGCCACCCACCGGCCACGCATCGGCCACCCCACCGGCCAAAGCACGCCCCACATTTCTTAGGAGCTGAGGCCTGCTGCCCAGTCCCAGCCTTGGCCCCTGCCCTGGATGCCAGGCTGACTCCCAGCCCTCTGCCCAGCGGCCCCATGCCGCCCTGCGTACCCCCCCAGTCCTCAGGGTCTACCCCCCGCAGTCCTCAGGGTCTCCCCCCCGCCCCGCCTCTGTGTCTGGCTGCCGTGTTGAGCAGCACTGGTACCAACACCCTTCCTGCTGTCCACAGGACCGGGGCCCCCACCCCAAGTCTCCCTGGAGGCCACAGATCCTCTGGCCCAGGTCAACCCTGCCAGGAGCTAAAAACACACCACACGCCCCTCCAGCTGGGCCCTCAAAGGCCGCCCCTTTGCACAGCTGGTCGCCCCCATCCTTCCCACAGCGGGCCGGGCGAGGCTGGCCTGGCCCACGGGCAACCTGGGCATCGCTGGACCAGGCTCTCCCAGCGTGAACACAGCACAGAGCCGGAGGCTGGGGGTGCGGGGTGAGGACAGTGGGGGAGGCGGAGGCGGGCAGGGACCACCAGGGCCCTGAGGGAAGGCCTGGGGGAGGAGGTGCCATGACTGTGACCTTTATTAGATGTTTGTGGTGTAAACGCTCCGATTAAGGCCAGTTATGGCGACTCCTACGTCACGGGCAGGAACCAGCAGTCACTGCACACGGCCAGTCCCCAGTCCGTCTGAGACACGTCTCCAGCCCCACAGGTCCCCGCACCCTGAGCTGTCGCAGGGGCCGCCTGCCTGGACAAAGGGCTGCACCCCAGCCCCCCGTAGCCCTCCGTGCAGCCTGGTGGCGTCGGGTCCTGTGTGTTCCCTGTCCCGGGAACCCCATCTTTCAGATGAGGAGCTGACCCCCAAGAGGCTCACGACCTCGCCCGGCCTCACCGTGAGCGTAACCGGGTGGAACTGGCCGGGAAACCGCAGCGGGGAGTTCCTGGGGCCTCCGGCCCTCTCGCTCCCCTCCCTTCCCAGGCCTCCCCGGGCCGCAGGGGGGTCGGGGCGCAGGGAGGGGCTGGGTGGGCCGCGTTGTGGCTCTGTCCGCCTAAGTAATCCTCCAGCCTCTGCTCTAGCCCAGAGGGGAAATTAAATATTAATCACGTATCATTTCCCCGCGATGGTCCCTCGCTGGGGCCGGCGCGGGGGTCAGGCGCTGTCCCACGCACGCTGGAGGCACATGCCGGCGCACGTGCAGGAGCCGGGAAGGACCGCCCGTGGGAGGCCGCGGCGTCCCGCCTTCCTCCACGTCCTCGCTGGCCTGGCGGCTTTAATTAAAACTCCACTTAATCAAAACCCACATCTTTCCCGGCCCAATTCTGGCTCTTTGTGTGTCGGGCCAGCGAGGCTTTCTGTCCACAAGCCAGATGGTGGCTGTGCCCCCGGAGCCCGCTGGCCCCACACCTCTGACTGGGGGCGGCTAAGGCAGCCTGAGCCCCGCTGGGGACGCAGACCTGGCGCAGCCACACTGGGCCCACTCCGGGGCTCCCGCGTCCCGGCCTCGGACTACGGTGCCACCTTCTCCTTCCAGATGTTCCCCAAGTACCTACTCAGCGCCAGGCAGCCGCTGGCACCCCGGGAGCCCTGTGCCACCTGCTGCTGAGCCTGGTGCCAGCAGGGCCCTGAGCCGACAGGAGGGGGCCTTGACGAAGGGTTTGCCCCAAGAGACTGTCCTGAGGGCCAGCGGCCACCCTGGCGATTGCCCAAGACACTGAGGATCGTCAAAGAGATAAAGAAGGGAATAGCGTTCATAACCAAGCCCGAGGGCGCGCGGGTGGGCGGGCAGAAACGAGACAGGTGTGTGTGACCACGAAACGTGGCCACGAAACAGCACCACGTCATCGTCTCACAGCGAGACGTTCACCCCAGAAGCGAAAGCTGGAGGGACGGAGGCAGGGAGCACGCGCTCCGGGGCAGGTGGGGTTTGATGGCCACCCTGGGAACTCACAGAACCTCCCCAGGCGACGGAGTCCCCGGAGAGTCGCGGGACAGGGAAGGCAGGTCGAGGAGCAGCGACAGGGTCAGGGGGCTCCGTGGGAGGGTGCAGAGGGCAACAGGCAGTTCGGCTCCTGCTCCCAACCACAGCCACCTGCCGGCCCTGGCCCTGCCCTGACGCCCAGAACCCTAGGGCCTGGGGGCCCCTGACCCCTGACCCCCTGGCCTTGGCAGGTGTGAGCAGCCACCAAGTATGATCACCTCTTTCCTCCCTCCCTCCCTGCAGGGCTGCTGGTGGCTCCAACTTCAGGAACTCGGTGCAGGCAGGGCCTGGTCCCCGGGCAGGCACCCAGGGGTGCCTCCTCCCCCACAGCCCCTTGGGTGTGTGGTGGCTGTTCTCAGCCCCAAGGGGCAGGATGTGGGCAGAAACAGGGCGGGCATTCAGCCCCCTGCACGGAGCCTGGCCTCCGAGGAGACGCCCCATCGTCAGCCCTCAGGACGCAGGGCCTCCCCAGCTCCCTTCTCCCCCCTGGGCACCCAGAGTCCCCCCAACCGCCCATGTCCAGGCCAGATGCCAGAGACACTGCAGGCCCCTCGTCCCAGCCTGAGGTGGCCACTCACCCCGTCCCTGGCTGCCTCACCTGACACCCCCTCCTAGGGGCCAGTCCTCAGCACAGGGTGCTGGGTGCCCACCCTGTGGCGGGAGGAGCCCAGACGGGGCCCCTCCATGGTCCACCCCTGAGACCCTTCCCCTCTGTGCGGCCGGGGGCGGGGGTGGACGCACACCCAGGCCTCCCTAGAAGGAACTAAGGGCAGGGTGATGGGCCCTGTGGTGCCTGGAGAGGAGCCGGGGTGGGGGGTGGGGGGGCTGGCAGAGGCTGGGCCGTGGAAGGGGCAGTGCCAGGTGCCGCCCGGTCCACTCCGC